GCCATTCTGCTTTAAAATCTGAGTTGATTGAGGTGAGGTAATAAGGTTTTCTGCAACTTCTGTTTTCCCTGAATCACATCTTGCATGCTACAGCAGAGAAATTTGGTCTGTTTAGCTCCTGCTGCATTCAGTACTTGTAGCTATAATCTTAGTTTTACTATGACCTCTTTTGCTTTATTACTTTAGCTGACTTGTATAATTATCATATTCTGCATTTGCAGTTTCCTCCATTCTATTTTTGTTTTCATTTTGCTAGCTTCAGCTCCTCTTAGCAGTTGCCTACTTGAAAAGTGACCTACAGCTAGACACTTTACATTTCTACTCCCAGAGACTGTTTAGACTGAAGGCCTGTGAATCATTTGAATTAAAAGTGCATGATCTTAAGGCATTCTGGGCTATCCAGAAGAACAAATAGAGTTTCTATCTAGGGAGATTAGACATTAAGTGATGTTACGTTCAATTGATTTTACTTGTCCTTAAGTGATACTAGTCAAACCAGTAAGCCATTTATCATCTATTCATTCTATACATACTAGGCACTGGTAGCATTAGCTGTCTCTTTTTTGGGCTTTCTGGCTGATGACTGTATCAAAAAAACCTTCTGAAGGTTTAAGCATTTGCTTGTATTTCCTATTCAAATGTTTCTTAAAATTGTCATTTTCTAGATAGTCATAAAATTAAAAAAAAACCACCCTAAACCAATAAAACCCAAAAGTGACCCAACACCATTCCCTCCAGCCTCTGAAAAATTTATGACAATTATTTCTTTAACAATTTGCAAAGCTCTCACATGACTCTATACTGTATGGCTGTGAACTTCAAATGAGACAGTATTTCTCATGCAATACAGTGCTCATCCTGAGGATTTCAATTGGGTGATCAGTTGAGAAACATGCAAAGTTATTGTAGTTTTAACTGTCTAAGTACTCTATTTTTAGTACTCCTTTGTTTTGCTAAAATGGTTAATCAAACCGAGGAGTACTTCACTTTTTACTGATTTTAAGATCCTGCAAGTTTATAACTTTTGACGGCTAGATGTCAAGTGCTGTTCAAAGGCATCACAGCACCTCATGGGATTCTAAATTTAGGCTAGCTCTTCCCAACCTGTGTTCTTCTTTTAGTGCTTTAATTTGCAATCATGATGTTTGACTGTGCAAACTGTCTGAATATTTTGATGACAAAAATGGTCATAAAAAAATTTCATTACCATTACAATCAGTAGTACTGATACATGAAACAAGACACATTTATGAATTAAGGAGAGATAATTTTAAGGAGACATAATTTTAAGAGACCTTTGATACTTTGCTCTAAATTATATAATAGTTATAGATCAGGTAGCTGAATCACCTACTATAGCACTGACTTTTCTTCCACTATGAACTAAACCTGAATATTGCCTATGTGATGATGCAATGATGTACAAGATTTTTAAGTCCATCTTGTATTGCTGGACTTCTGCTAAGGCACTCTTTTATTTGGGTCTCTTTAGTACAATTCTTACGAATATGTATTAGTGGTAAATTTACCAAATATGTAATTTAATATATTATTATTTAAAAAAAACTATTATTGTCTTTCTATCACTAGTTATGAACTTTGTCTTATAAATATCTAATCAGCCAAGGATTGGTACTAAGTTCCATTAATGATTTCAATTACTTTTGCAGTTAGGCATTTGAAAAATCGGACTATCTATTTGCAAAGACGAGGTGACTTTGAGCCAGAGCTGTTTTCCTCAGCCTGTCCTAATATACCTTGTCAACCTGAATGATGAATGCATATATTTATTAAATTCCTCGACAATGCCACCTTTTGAAGGCTGAAAAACATATCAGAAGACAGGATTAGAACAAATTATTAGGAGATTAGTGGAAACAATCTGGCATGCATAAATGCAAGTTCTCTATTTGTCAATGGACAATGTCTTCAAAACAGGTTTTGATCACAATATTGTGCTTCTGACAAAGGCAAACACTGTGGGATATAGGAAACGCAAAGTAATCAATTCACTCTATGTGGCACTCAGAAGATTTCAGCTGCAGACTGTGTCCGATTTAAACAATAGGTAGACCAACTGGAGAAAATCCAACAAATACAATAAGAATAATAAGCAACCTCCAAACATTAAACATAAGAATGGTTTGACGGAACTGGATCTGTGTAATCTAGGAAGAGGTGCAGTATAAAGCTTTATATACACAGCAATTACCTGAAAAAAAAAAAGAAAGAAAAATAAGCTGGGTTTACTGTCAACACAAGAAAACATGAAAACCAAAGGTCTCTGATTGGACAGGGAAGACAACTGGGATTTTAAAGCACTGAAATAGGTGGCCCAGGTAGGCTATGGAATCATTACTCCCAACTAACATGTCTGAGGTTTCAAAGTAAAACTAATGAACAAAATTGTGTTTTTTCTTGGTATTCAGTGAAGTGAAAATGACACTAAAAATGACACTGTTATAGTATGTTCTGAGAGTAGAACATGATGCAAGTGTGTGTGTTTAGGTGTTTTTCCACTCAGAAATATAGGACAGAAGCTTCACAAGTTTTCCACTGTGACTCCAGAGCTTTGGAGTCTCCACCTAGCAGTTCTGAAGCAGAAATGTTCATAACAGATGAAAAGGCCACATAAAGTTGGAGCCAGAAAGCAAAGTACAAAAGATGTTTTATCGGTATTTCTTGTGACTAGATAGATATTAACAGAATAGTCAAGCTGGACTGCAGTGACTAAATCATTATGCTTATGTGGTTTTCTACTTCTCTTTTTTATAGCCTTCGTCTTGTGTGATGTCCATTAAGAACCTTTGTATGTACATGTAATACTAACTTTTCTACAGATCCAGTATTATCATACAGGTAGAGAACATGAAAAAAAATCCCAAATGGCATTTAAAAAACCCTACACCCTTTTCCGACATCTAAAAATAAATAGTCAAATACCTGATTAACTTCAGTTTTTCAAGGGAAATTTTGCAACAGTATCTTAATTATACATTCATGAACTGCAGATTTTATTTCTGTCCTATAAACCAACCCTTTGCAGGTTGCTGGATTTAATTTTTATTCCTTTAAGACAAGGCTAGGTGATATTTGTTGAAGTGTATATATACACATATACACACAGAAAGCATATTTGCTTAAACATCTATATACATTTTATACATACATTTAAGCTCAAGACATTAACATAGGATCAATTTATTTTGAAGAATTAATTTTTCTAGCATTTGAACATGTCCTGCAAACATGAAGTATATGAAAGCAAATATTAGTTCCACATACTCAGCTCACTAGCTCAAGAAATGTCTTGAATCCCTCAGTAAAGATTTGATCTTTAAAGTTACTGAATCTTGCTCAGCAAAGGGGGAGAGTGCCAGAAGAGTTAAGTTTGTCTCACTAATCTACAGTTATGAGTTACAAGGAAATGGATGATTACTGATGAAGGAGACTAGAGGGAAATAGAATATTGGCATAATGATGTCATATTAAATGTATCCCCTTAGCCAAAGAACAGTTTAACAGATACCTGAGAAAGCTGTTTCTCTGCAAAAGGTGAACAGAGACAAGGTCATAAGACATATTAGCCATCTACCTAGTATGGAGCTGAATGACTCAAACAAAATTTCCTCAGCAGCCTTCCAATCCCACCTGAAGGATTTTTGTTGCTGTTCTCTGTTTCATTCAGTTCACAGTGCACTTACATTTTACAGTTTCCTTTAAAGTAGTCATCAGCCAGTTAGTTCTGACTCATGGCACAACCTTACAAGACTAAGATTTGGTTGTCTGACTTCTTCTTTGCTCTCTGCTGGGAAATGATTGTACAAACTTAACGCTGAAGGTAACTGAGGAATGCTAGTGCTTGTATAGACCTGTTAGCAACAAGAAGGAACAACATACATGTCTTTATAGTAGATAGAAAAACTCACTGGAGAAAGAAAGTATTATTACCTAAAGCTATAAACCCCAAACTTTTTACTGGTGGATATCTGAAGGAAAGGGAGAGGAAACTGAGAGGATTTAGATTTCTTCACAGCACACTCGTCTTCCAACTTGCAAATGGAAGCAGAAAAGACAAAGTTCCATTCTAAGGATCAAAAATGAATGCCTAATTGAAAAACTTACCCCAAATTAAACTGAACTGTCCAAGGGCTCAGTGAGCTATAATGTTGTACTTTAAAATGTCTTAACAAAATGCACCCTAGAGAGAAGAAGAAAATGCCCAAGTAAGGAAAAGAGGCTAATAGTCAATAATCAGCTTCCTTTTTCCCCAAGTGCAAAAGTAGGAATGCTGCAGTTCTTTCCTTTTGCTAGGGTAACAAATTAAGCTTGTAAAGTCTGAAGTTTTATGCTGTTTTTTTAGTCAGACCATAAACAAGCTGCAGTTGTTTTTTCAGTGCATATTGCCCACCAGCTCCTTTTCCAGATATAAAGTGATCTCTCATCTTCAGCAGGAGTACCAGAGCATCCCACATCCCATATAAGGTTTGTTGTTCAAGAAAGAATTGTTAAATAAAGCTAACTGATTTAAACTTTATAAAGAGGCATGTCATCTTTTAGTATCAGCTAACGATTTCAGTACTGATCAGCAATTTTTAGCTGGCTTTTACTCGAGCACCTGCTGAAATCTCCCTCCAAGATGCAGGAAATGGTATTTTATACCTTAGCTGATGGGAGTATTATTAGATGTGATGTCTCAAATATTTTATCTTGTAAATGGCGGCAGTTTCTGTTCACAGATTGTGTCCTTATTTGTGTGCTTTCTACTACATACTACAAGATAATGATTACTGAAGAATCAAAGAGCATATGAAACAATTATTGAAAATAACATTCTTGCTGTCTTTCAGTAGTGAAATACAAAGCCATTTGTCTATTTTTGGTCTCTTAGGCCTTTTGGGTAACAAGTTTTGTATTTTCTTGAGATGTAAACATAAATTATACTTGGCTGTTATGCAATGAACTGACTAAATAATAATAAGACATTACAGGTCACTTACTTGTGAAATTGCCACAGGCAGTTGTCTGAAAAAATCCCAATCATTTTGGGCTGTAAATAAAACAGAAAGGTATGAAAAATTATGAAGGAAATAGAACTATGAATGGCTGGAGAGTCAAACATCTAAGAGTATGTGAATTGACAGACATTGTCTTATACATGATGATATTGTCATTATAGTTATTCAGGAAGGATAGACTCTATTTTTATGCCAAAGATGTAACTGTTAGAAACCTTAGATAATATGAGGGCATTGATGGACATTCTCAGAACAGGCTTATACATTATCATAGGCTTTTTCTTCCAGACATTTTGTAGCCTTTTCATACAACAAGGATAGTTTACTTTCCATTTATAAATGCAACTGCCTCCTTAATATTAGGAAGTAGGAAATAAAGGCACAGGCATAGAAATTAAAGCATAAGAAAGGCATAGGAAACAAAATGAGCCATTTCAGGTCCAGTCTATAAAGGACTAGGACAGAAAAATGGTAAGTACATGATGTTTTCTATTTCATAGACTTACACCACTCAGATTGCTTGCACCAGTCAAACTGTTAAACACCATGTAAGATAATAGTCTGTTTCTCAAACAGGAAAAAAAACAAACATAAGGAAATATATGCTCTTTCTACAACTGTAGTGCAAGTCAGAGTGAGTAGCAAATACCTCTTCTTCAGTTCCCAGATGTATGCTTAGCTCACTGGATTAGACCTCCTGACTGCACAGAGGACAAGACAATCCTTTCAAGAAAACACATTAAGAACATGCTTTTAGTAGGCACTATTGTGCCTGAAAAAAAAAACAACCCCCAAAAAACCCTAAAAAAATTAAGGCTCACAAGCAGTTTCAGCCCACTGATGATCACCGGGCAATAAACGTCATGTTCAAACATATGGCAACCTTAAGCACTTTCCAGTGAGCTGGGTAAAACCTTATTTGTTCAAGGTCACTGATGTGGTGGGATTTGTCATTCTTGACCTGTCACCAGTATAGGTCAAGTCAGTATAGAATAGTTTGGTACTTAGCTTTGGGCTTCTTTTAATCCATTTTTATTTTTGTGAACAGAAAAAAGAACCAACAACCCCTTTCTGTGTTATCTAGACAAAAGGAGCTCAGTAAGAAAAACAGAAATTAAGTTCACCTTTAAAATGCTTTTGGGTAATGGAAACTTTGATTCAAAGTGACAATTCTAATAATATTTTCCCATTTTATTTTGAGTTTTCTTCAGGCTGTGAAAAAAACAAATTAAAAAAAGAACATACAATTATTTGAGTGGATGGAAGATAAACTGTTCAATAAAAGTGCACAGAGCAGAGATTACAACCCACAAACCAAGCAAAAATATGAAATTAATTATATTTTAGGTAAATTTAGTATTTAGTAACAGCAATTAAATCTGGTGAACTTTTTGTGTCAGAGATTTTAAAGCTGTTGTTAACCACATTTATAGTTAAAATACTGTCATACAGGAACTGACCAGCATTTTCAGAGACAAAGATCCAAGCAGACAACATGCCAATAATTTTAAAGTTTGCCCAATTACCACATCATTTCCATTACGTATGATACAATATTTCTATAATGCACATCAAATGAATAGAGTCGGAGGATTAAGCATGTTCAGAAAATAGTGTCTCATCTTGGTCTAGAAATTTGTCATAATGATAACAATCAGAATGTTACCTTTTATGTACTACAGATCAGTCAGAGGTACTGTCTTCCCTTGGAAAGTAAATTTGCACAGTAACCATGAAGTCAAAAAAACCACTGGCTGAGTTATTTTATCTGAGGAATAATTTCTTTAAGGACAAAAAAAAAAAAAAAAAGGAGAGCACTCTAATTTGACATCCTTTTATAATTCAAGTTGAATGCCCAAAGGAAAAAATAAAGAGAAATTTCTCAATATATTTTCATAGAACAACATGTGTTCAGTAGAAGTTAGAAATAAGCCCTCAAAGAGTAGGAAATTCATGGCTCCATTAGTCAAAGTGCTAGCTTTGTTGATTACTTTCAAACCTGATTTAAATGATTTATTATCCAATCTCCATATTTTATTATTTTGGCTTGCACATCTTTCAGTCACATTACTGACCATAATTCCCTGCAGTCATTCAAATAATAAAATAAGTCTGTTAGTTTGATTTCCTCCATAGATCATTTAATACTCATCACACCTGGATAACAGAAATTACTATGTTGTAAAAGTGGAAGAAAGAAGCCTACAGCTCTGTTGATAACTGAAATTTTCAGGTATTAACAGTGCCTTATTATATCTCTATTATGACAACTGACTCATTTGACTTGAGATCATCTGGAGAAAATGAGCTTATGGCCCTACTAAAGAGCAAGAAGTCTATATTGTATACATAAATTCTAATACTAGCTGGTCATAATGTGCTTTCTTTATGTAGGTCTGATTTCATGACAGTAACTTCATTAACATATGAATGGCAAAGAACAAATATTCCATAAGGTGGAAAGGGCAGAATGAAATCCTACTTCCAAAGAATTTAATGATGCCAGGATATAATCCCTGTCTTTTGATTTTCTAAAGCAACCTCTCAAAAAATATGTAAGATATTTAAGCCTGATGGAATGCTGGACCTGTTATATGTACACAAAAGCTTATTCAATACCTTGAAAAGATGTAGCTACATTAAATTCAGACTATGAATCCATTTTATAAGAAAGAAAATGTTTACTGCTAAGAAAAGTTTTGTACTTAACATTCCTACTTAGACTTAATGATATATAGCAAGATAATAAAATGTACAGAAATAAAGGAGACAACAGTGGAGATATTGTGCAGGAAAAGATAATGTAAATCTAATGGTGGAAGGCTGAATCTTGAAGTAAGTTCAGGAAAAAAACCCTGAAACAATAGTATATATTGGTGGACATCAATTTAAATACTTTTTTTAAAATGTTTTTTAAATGCTGACTTTCTTCTTGCTGACTTTCTAATACTTGAACAAATATTAGTTGTGTTATTATCCATATGTCTTTAAAAAATAAGGCAAAACAAAGCACATCATCCAAGAATATAAGGATACAGCTCTTGCATTAGTGGTCATAGATGCCTATTTCCGAAAAATAGGTTTCAGAAGTTCTTGTGTTTTCTCTTCACAAAGGGGATCCCACATAAATACAAGAAATTTGCCTTTCATTTTCTATATAAAACATTTTTCTGGGCTATGATTTGGTTTTGATATGAAGTATTTTAGTAAATTAAGTTTCAGAATATATTTGTAATTATAGTTTTAAGCATGTAAATATACATGTATATATTTAGAAAACAACAAATTTAAGTATTTTTTCTTACCTGTCTGTAAGAATAAGATCTGAGATTTGCCTTTTTAAATTTTTATATGCCTATTCTTTGACTGAATTTGTCAATGAGGTTTACAAAGTAAGTTAGAGAAGTTATGTGTATACATTCAGATTATATATTTGCTAAACACATTTCTAACCAATAATGTTTGAGAACATAGTTTACATCTGGACTACTTCTCTATTACAATGATACATCATTATCTTAGTAATTTTGCCTCTTGCCATAAAATGTGCTGATAAAGACAACTGGAAAGACAAGTAGCGTAGATTGAAATAGTGTCAACATGAACCATCATTAGCTGTCTTTGAAATGCTGACAAAAAAAATAATTCAACAAAGCACAGCAAGCACATGGAAGAGCCAAGAATCCCTGGCCTTAGGAATCCCTCTGCAATACCAACTACAAAATCATTCCTGATAACTAACATATTGCATGACTTAAAAGGGCCTTTAACTTTTTATATGCCTATTGTTTGTTCTTAAAGATGGATATGGACAAAGATTTTAATAGTATGATCACTTTGAGTTAGCAACACTTATAAGGGTATCTTGACTACTACTGATTGTGAACTGAATTATCATGCTGTGATTATATTCCAAAGCCTGTGGGTTTTTTTGAGAATATTGATGATCCAGAGGAAAAAAAAAAAAGAAAAAAGGAGTTAGGAAAGGCTGACATCAAACAGACAATTTTATCACATACTAAGAAAAAATAGGAGAAATCCCAGGGGTTCTCACTTCTGAGCTATACTTCAAGTGGAAATTTTTCATTTCATACTAGCCAGAAATGCAGGTAGCAGCACATGATCTTATCTTTTACTGTATGCTTGAAATATTTGAAAAATTTTCAAACACTAGAAGGATGAAAAGGAAGGGTAATAGCCTCATTTTTTTATTCAGTATCATGTTCAGTATTTTCAGTACACACAACAACAGATTTCTGCAGAAAAAAGGGATCTAACTATTTTACAGCTACGGAAATATTCCCTTCACCCAAGTGGATCCTTTCTTTTGTCATCTTCAGTGAAACAACCTAAGCTGCATGTAATTGTTGTAATTTATCTGGGAGTAAATATACCTTTTCACTTTCATACATATACTTCCTGAAGCCTTTATTATAGCTCACTGTATTTGTCTGCTTTAGAGAAAATACCCGGAAACAATGGAAAGCACTGATAAGGTATAAATCAGATGACAAGAACGATTGGTGATGCAGAACTTTTTCATCCTCAAGTGTTTAGACAAGAGTATGTCAATGGAAACACCTCACAGTAAGCTTTTGCATACACCACACATTTCCTAATTTATAAAACGCTGTAAGCACTAACAGTACTGAGTATCTGAGATCTCAAAGAAATTAGGATTTAACGCTATGCTTTGGATGCAGTAATATATTTAGCTTTGGCACAGAGTTGTATCTTGATATATGCACATAAATTGAGAAGCTAACAGTGTAAAAAATCCAAACACACCAACTTGGATATTGTTTTCAGATGCCATCATTTCATCTACTAATATATTAAAGTGAACCGGAGTTGCTAGGATCAAACTGTACACAAGCATACCCTCAGGTTGAGGGAGAAGAAAAGCCTTCAGAATCAAGTCGAAGAATTAAATTATTCCCTTCCCTTATTTGATCTATTTTTGAGAAAGTCATATAGAGGTGTAATGTAACCATTGCTAACCCTGAGTAATTAAGGCAGCAACAACAGCAGGACCTGCATTCTGTCACTTCCAACTTGTCAGGACACTGTATTTAATTTCAGATTTCATTAGAGAAATCTATGTTCAACTGGATTAAGATTCAGTTAGACACACATATTTTGTCATTTATTATTTGGAAGGGTACATTTCAATCAGAAATAACAACTTCTGTGGAGTCTTACAGTTTCTTAGTAAGAAAAGGCAGAAATCTTTGGCTCTCACTATACTATTTTGTCACTCCCTGCAGTGGCTCCTTTATACTGTAGCGCTTACCACAGCAGGCATGGGTTTTAAAAGCCACACTACTAACCTGGAAATTGAAGGACTCTAGAAATAGGATCACAAGTTTCCTCATCAAGAACCCTGGACAATGCCATCATTTCTTAGGAAAAAAAAAAAGTCAGTGCAAGAACTAAACAAATTTACAATTTGTGGGTCATTTTTGTGAGTCTACTATAATCATCAGCGATGAATTAAATAATATATGATGTATTAAATATTTATAATAAATTAGGAATTATGCATTAAGTACCTGAATAGCCAGGAAAATCCAGATTTCTGTATAGAACTTGAAGAATTTTGTTAGAAAAAAATCCTGGCCTGAGATCGTACAGTTCCCAAGATCACTCCCTACAGTGCTGATCACTGTGAACTTTATTCATTAACCCTGCTGAATCAAAACACTCAGTTAATGCGTCTCAGTTTAAAGGGGCATGATTTAAACCAATAGACATGGATGTCTAGATTCACTGGTTTCTGTATGCAACTCTAAGGATAGAAAAAATCATCTGTAAGAAATCACTTACATCACTAGGGCCTAAGTATGTTAAATTGTTTACCAAAATGGATGAAAAAAACACCCAACTAAACAAACTCCTGTTAACATAGCCCAGGATATGATTTAACATAGAAAAAGATGGAGACTTTTTTTGTGGGAACAAAAATTTTGGACTCTTCCTTCATGTGGTTAGTGAGATCTCATTAGTTGCTGAAAACTCATTAAATTTACACTTTGGAATTAGGACAGCAAAACTAACATATCATTGTTAATTCTGAGGCCAGCAGAATAGGAGTATAAATAGATGAATGGTCATATGAAGAAATGTCATATCAAGTAGTGAATGTAAACCCAAATGTTATGATTGATATTGGGATAGGCAAGCTGATCATTTCTAAGAGACATTATGGTAAACACGACACAAAATGTGGTTTCTAAGTAAGAGTAATTTCAGTTTTAATCATTAGTTCCATATGTAACATCACTTTCACGGAGATTAATACCTGGAAAAACTAACAAATGCTGGGTTTGGTAGGTCTGATAGGAATCAGGAGTATTTATACGTAACTGTGAGAAGTACACACATACTGCTTGAAATAGCTGCTCTTACTAACCTGATTTTTTCCACTTTTATGTTCAAGTAGCCCTCGCCCCAACAACTGTTTCACCTTCCCCTAAATAGACCTCAGCTTAGCTTAGTTATCCAAAATTTCCTGCTTTTTCTTTTGAAGTTATGGACCTGAAAGAAATTACTTTGAAAGAAAAGCCACAATTTGTTATGAAGCTAGAAAAAAATTAACTCTAAGTACCATTGTAGCTGATTTGCAAGAGAAGCTCTTCATGTTCAAGTATGCTCTTACTCTCCTCATAATCAACAAAGACAAGAAGGGGAAAATGGATGCTAATATTCAATAGTCACAACAGGAAAATTAAGCCTCAATGACTGAATCTTCTGGCTTTCTAGACAGACTGAATGAAAGAAGAGATGATGGCCATTTATTTTTCCTTTGTTATAACAATAATATGCCTGAACTGGACCTCATTGGTACTGGACCTCATTCCATAAAAGGCTGCCTGATGAACATTCCATTTGCCATGTCAAATTGGTGCAGCAATGGTGTCTTGTGTGAGCTGTATTAGCAGCAACTGATAAACTTTCCCAGCTTCCCTGAGCAACTGCCCTTATCACCGGTGTAGTAAGACCTGTAAAACAAACTGGAAGTAACTATTTTGTACCTATTGGTAAATTATGTGACATTTCTGCCAGAAAAAGCCTCACAAGCTGCCATACCAGCTGGAAATACTTCAGTTTAGTATAACAAGTGCAACACTGAAGAGCTTTTATATATATGACTAATTCAGTTTAGCTTCATTGCAAATTAATGCATTGGGACAGCCAATAATAAAGCTATTAAAAGAATGAAATGGCTGTGGAATTGTCAAAATTTCTCCCTTAGCCTGCATTGAGGAAGACAATTTTAGCTACATGGGTCTCCAGTCAGTGGCAGAAACAGTCATACGCTACATTCAAATGTGCATGAGGTTTTTGAGGAAAGGATTGGAGGAAAACTCTCACCCACTGAACAGCATTATGCACGCATATGAAATTTACTTTAGTTAACATGACAAAAGGGATAGAACTGCAATTAGACAAAGAAGGCCCCCTATGAGGCAAAAGCCTGTCCAAACAGATGGGCTTTCCAATACACTTGAAGGTCAACAGATTATGAATTTGCTGAGCATGTCAGTAATCATGATACTTCATAGTCTTTTTCTGCTACAGCTACTGGATCTAACCTGTACATAACTCAGCAATTGAAAGACAAGGTCCATAAGGCAGCTATCTAAACAAACTAAAAGAGAAACTAGATCCTCTTATTTTTTCCCCAGTTGGAGAAGTTTATTAGGGAGATTTACTTTCACAGTGGATTTTGTCTGTAATCACAGAAAACTCAACCTAGAAACTACAGGGAGAATATATTCCTCAAAGTTTCTTCTGTGGGACCTGCTTTGAAGTAAGAAAATTTATGAACAGAACGTTGTGGAAGAGACACAACTCTATCCCAGCCAAAATCAGGACACAGAGGTAGTCCATCTTAATTATCAAAGTCTTCTTCTCTGTATTTGGAAATTACTTATTATTTAGTCAAATGGGTCTTAAGTGTATTTATAGTCCAGTACATAAGTGAAACTTAAATGCATATATAAAATGCACTTCCATACGATATGGTTTAATGAATGCTTCAACTATATAGTCAAAGCAGGAAATTAATATTTAACATAATTTGGATAGAAGGTTGGATTTGAAATTCTCAATCTTAGTCTTTGGTCAGATTGAATGGGATCATTTAACGAGTTACGTGTGGTCAATATCTTTTTAGGGATTTCACATGAAACAGTCTCATGAGAATAAATTCTCAAAGGCACATCAAGGCTGTGACTATTTAACCCCAAATAACCCTGCCCTAATATTATCATTTCAATAAATAAAGCAAAACACTCTTCTTGTTGCACTGATATAAATCTCACATAGCGCTATTTAACAAATGACATTACTCTAGTAAAGTTTTTACAGTGGATGTAAAGTTCTTCAGGACTAACCATACAAAGGATGTAAAAAAAATCTGCTATTCTCCAAATCGTAGTTTTTGATAAATCTTCATTCTTCATGTATCCTTTTTTAATCTATATCTATCTTCAGCTGAAGTTTCCTTGCTCCATTTGCTTTTTATTATCCCTGTCCCTTGAGCCTAAAAAGACTGCATTTAAACAAAAGCACCTACAGAACACAACACTTAAGTCTATTGTGCTCAGTGTTGTTTTCTTGTTACTTATTCTATTCCTCTTGATTAATCTGTCTTTACTTTCAGCCCATCTTTCTCTCCTGTCCTTCTTCATGTGTTCTTCCTTTGTTTTTCAAGGAAAAAAAACCTCACTAAAACCCAGCCCAACCTCTCAGATAAATTATCATCATCTAAGACTCAAATGAAATTTGGAAGAAAATTCTAATTAACTGAGAACACTCTCTCAGGGAAATCCCTTACCCTATTAATCAATCCCATCCTTTAAGTGTGGTTTGAAGAACATAAAAGGGAACTATTTCTATTTCTTAGCTGTCTGAAAGTAGGCTCTGCTTCATACTTATTTCTTTTTTCAATATCTGTTTGTTTTTTTTTTTTGTCACAGGGAAACTTTGGATGTACCAAGCTTAACTGGGACACATTAAAGGATACACATACACACAACATACCAGATGGAAAATATGGAGGTAGTATTTAAACACTGGTGACAATATGACTCACTCAATCTTCCCAGATATATACAATCCATGGTACAAAACATTCTCACTACTAGACCTTTATTTCCTGCTTTCTTGCCCAAATCTCAAAGCTATAGTTTGTTTTGAGGAACCGACTGACTGCCATCAGCTTCTTTAATAGTACCTTATTCTGGGATTCAATTTACTGCACTAACCCACAGTAGTATCACTGCTCTCTATTTCTTTGTAAACAAAAACTAAGGGGATTTATGTTTTAGAATAATTAAAGATAAATCTCTGCATACCCAATATCAAGTTAGAATAAGGACTGATATTCTTTAAAAGAATCATCCAGTCTGTCTATTCAGTGCAAGTGTGCAGTGCAGCGCAGGTTCTTAGTAAAAAGAAAAGCCAGCTTTTTCATTTTAACAAAATGAATCAATTGTGCAGAAAATGCTTTTGTACAGCAATAATAAGATATACTTTATATGCTTCAGATTTTTTTGTAAAAAAGAAAGGAAGAACCGGTTCTGACAGACTAAAGTTATGTCCATAAATATTGTTAATATTTGTTTGTTTGTTTGTTTTTTTAATGGAATCAGTAAATATATTAAGAGAAATCCTTATTATATAGTATGTGTGGACTTCTAAACACTTCATACAGTCCTTTGAAGACAAAGGACAAAAAGCCTTTGCCTTCATTTGCAAGAAAATTATTTTGTCTTGGAAGGAAAATGAGGGTCATTTTGTTTAAGTGTTAAACAAGAAAACAGTGGCAGAAATTAGTTATAAGGTTGCACAATGGAGTTTAGTGGTAGTCTCAAAGGAAGGCATCCTGGACCTCCATTGTAAATCTGCATAAATATATATATATATGTAGATATGCACATACACATACACACATATATGATCTGAAAATATGGTTGAATGTTAAAATGTCTGTGCTAAATGTTTCATAATGATCGAAAGTAAATCTTACTGCAAAGGGCTTCAGAAAGATCTTACAAGACAACATAATATGGCAATAGAATTGCAGCTGATACTCAGTGTGAATAAATATAAATTAATGCACAGAGGGAGATTAACCGCTAAGAATGTATACATAGGCACAAGTCCTAAAACACAACTAATGAAAATCAAAACCTAGGTACTGTGGGAAGATAAGCTCTTCCCGTAGCAGCAAGGAGAAGTTTAGAACATTAGAGAAATAAATAAAAGAACTGACCACAAAACATAAAGCATGTTCTATAACTTTCAGTCAAACGAAAAAATACTATATAGCAAAAAATAAAAAAAAATTAGAGATCAGGCTGATGAGGAGGTATGGAAAACTTACATAAGATGCTCTAGGAGACCATATAGCCAAACAGTAACTGAGTTGGAACCTACTCTGGTAGAAAAAAAAAAATCTGGTTAAAATCAATAGTAATAAAATGAATCAGTTCCACCATCAGATGCACCATATGGTCATACAAGCACCTGTGCCAAAACAGGTGATAAGGCAGCATGGGGACAGGGATTAAATGAATGAGGGAATACTGTGCTTACACCTTTCAGGGACAATGCTGGCTTTAAATGTTTACCAAACAGCAGACTAAGAGACTGCAACAATTCACCTCAGAAAAAAGGCAACAGAGGTGTTATATAAAGATGGCATGACAAAAATTTTATAACTGAGCTCCTACATACAACTGTGCAAAAATCATG